ATTTAGTGCTACAGGGCAAAATTAACCAGCACAGCCAGTATAAAACTGGCAGTAGGTCCATGGGCAGACATCCAACTGATAGACATAACCACCCCATCCCATTTTATTTATACCAATTCAATTTCTGGGTGAAATTCTGATCCCTGAGGCTGTTAGCAGTCCTGCTGTTGACACCTGTTTAACTCCGAGGTTCTCTCTGGACAAATGGCGATAGTCGCGTTGGCCGATTTGTCACATTTAGAGGGGGACAGACCCTTCCTTTTGTCCATGCATACACACAGGTGACTTTTCAGTCAGTGTGATAACGGCTTGCAGTTTGCACTACATACGAAGTTTGTAGTTCTCGTTAATGCGCCGAATCTCTTCATTTGTGCGAGAAGCCAGAATTTCAATCAGGCAGCCTTCATCTGTTCCGGCACCCTAGGGAATTGCAAAGACAAGATCCAAGATTATTATGAGAACTGCTTTGATATGCAGCTAGGATCATTTTTTTTTTAGTTGTATGTAAGTTAATAATAATAAATTAATAACAAATGTATAATTATGCCATATCGTACTAAATTGACCAGAACTTAAGCAACATAAAAGGAAGATTTCCAAACCTTCATAGCCCTCCTCAGTTCATGCACATCATACATGGTGGTAGGAGTCATCATACCAATGATCACCCTTTCAAAATTCCCGCTCAGCTCAGACTTCAAGTCATCAATCAAATCCTGGAAGATGGAGAGAAGAGAAAGGAGTTGGGGGAAGATACAGCCTTTTAGAACAGAAAGAACTCATTCACCGCTTTTCTTCGTGCTCCAGCCCTCCTTGGATGAATAGTTGCTCTGAAGTGAACAAGACCAAAATAACCTTGGCCAGGCAAAGCTTGTGCTAACCTTACTGTCGTAGAGACTAGGATGTTGTTCACGTTTCACCCGAGTGATATAACCCCAAACCTGTGTGCATCTCCCACTTAAAGCCACAGTCACTAATCTCTGAAGACCACCTACCCTGCCAATACTGCTTTTATAGGTGATCAGAACTTGCTGACGTTGGGAAACATTTAGTTTGGTCAAGGTCTCGATGATGGCATCTTCATCTGTGCCTGGAAGAAACCAATGGAAACCAGTCAAGCCGCTTGCACAAGAACCAGACGCATGCTCTGGGCTTGTCCAGAGTGAGCCATTAGCCATCTTCTGTTCCTTACACACCCTGGTCCCCAACATCTTCTGTTCCTTACACACCCTGGTTCTCAATATCTTCTGTTCCTTATACAACCTGGTTCCCTACAGCAGTGGGGACTAGATCAGTGTACAGAAGTGCCTCAACCCAGCCAGCTGCATGGCAGCATCACACCACAGGAGAGACAAGAGCCTGACTAAGGATGTTTTTGTGGCCAAGACTTGGATTTCCAGTTGGGTTCATGTCTCAGCCTGATCGAGTCACTTGAATCCTTTCAGTGCCCTCACAGTGGCAGTGCAAATGGCTAGGCTTCCCTCTGACAAACCACCAGACAAAACATTCCTGGTGCTCAGGGGATGAGGGGGGAAGAGGGTTTAGCAGTGGTAGGAGACCAACTTACCAAATCCCTTCATAGCCTTCCTTAGCGCCTGTGCTTCTTGCTCAGCACTGAAACTCGAGACCCCCTTGATTGTTGCCTAAACCCACAGGAAAGGAGTTATCAAAGGCAGATGCAGGGATACATACATACAGTAGAGTTGAATTAACAAACTTTCAAAAGATGCAAACACAGTGATAGCAAGCGAAGCCCACCCACCAAACATGAGAGATTTTATACCAGGCTTCTATGCTTCCCTAAAGAGAAACTGCTCTACAGGGACTTCCCAGGCACAGAAGAAATAAGCCACAGGGATACAACTAAAAGAAAAAAATAACTTCATAAAGCTGCCCATGGAGTATCTGGTTTTCAGTTAAATAATGGCAAGCAGCCTGAGATCTCTGTTCAGTCCAGCTGGGGCTTCTTCCCAGCAGTTTTCCACGTAGATTGTAGAAGAAGCCGTTCCCAAAGCCCTACTCCTGACTTTTCTAAGAGCAGCCAAGGACCATCATTCTGTAAATAATGCACCAGGAAGCTCAGTGTTTTACTCAAAACAGTGATTCACAAAGAGGTTTCTCCTGCCTCCTGTCCAGTGCCATTTCTGTGGGATGACACTGTCTCTTACAAAGCCATCCTTGTTCCCATGAAAGTCATCACCCAAACACTGCTTAACATTCGTGTCCATTAGGCTTTCTGAAACAGGCACAAGGATAACTACCATATAGATGGCTACCTTGCAGGTTGAACCTGGAAAGAATAATATACCCAGGAAGTTTATCTGCAGAAATTCATGCTCTTTGAACTAATATCAGATTGGATTTTCCATTAACTCCCAAAATGGAGAAGCCTATAAGCATGGGTCATTCTTCTGTAGTATGAGGAAGCAGAGAGAAGTGATAAACTCACCCCCATAAAGGGACAGACAGTGACAGTGTTCTTCCTGCTGTGTCCTTATCTGAGCTACCCTCCCCACGTTTATCTGATCGGAGCAAGCTTGGCACAGCATGGTACGGAAAACACACACACTCACCATCGCTCTCGTATTTGGTCAATCTGTTATTGTCCAAGTCCCCAGGCAGTTAGACACCTGTAATAAAAACCAGAGGGAGTGGTAGTTTTCTAGCAAATAATTAATGGACTATACCTACCCTTACCGGTTAATGGGGCTGGTTAAGTAACCATCTAATTCCTCTGAGGACGAAAAGCAGCGCTTGAACAGCCCTGCTGAGCACCCGCAGCAGCATCCCTGTGTTCCCAGCCCTGCTTCGTACCGAACGGACAAAGGCTGCCTTGCAACAGCATCGGGCCAGGGCGCTCACCCTGTGTGAAAGAGGGGTGTGGAGCACAAGCAGATGATTAGCACTAGTATTTAAAAAAATTTCTTTTCTTTTGCTAGCGTGGCAGCCCGGCTGAGGCTACAAGAAGAAGCAGGCAATGTAGCCCTGGGAGCAAAGGAAATAGACTGGATTCCCATACCCTTCAGAACACACAGCTTTGACCTTGCCAGGTGAGAGCATGAGGGTGAGTTTCGGTGAGGGTGCCTGCACAGTCCTAACAGCCCTCCCAGATACTCCTGGGGAGGCAGAGACAACAGCAAGGTGTAGATGAGCATACAAAGGATGACCTCACTCGAGGACTGGGACACAAGAGTTATTTTCCCTTTTAAAAGCTGCCCTATTTCACTTCTCCTTAGTTTGGTACGATGTGTAATTCCTCGCAGGACTGCAGTTTCGACTGTTAAAGCCCTCAAGAAAAAAAAAAAAGCCTACTTGCCATCTCCCCAGCTTATTCTTTCTGCTCATAATTTTGTTTTCACGTGTAGGGCCTATACCTGTGTATAGCCAAAGTGTTTTCCCATATCCCTGGTCAGTTGACAGGATGTCAAGTACTAGGACCAGGTTCCCTCCCCTGCAACTCCAGTTCAACACAGCACGAGCCGGGGTTCTCGCATTAAAGCCCTTAAGTAGAATGATGCCAGCGGCTGACAACATCTCTCCTTAATCCTGCTCATGGTGCTTAATAGCTGCTATCAATGAGCCCAGACGGTTGTGCAAGAACAGGAGTGTCTTTGCTCATGCTTCACATGACTCTGACAAATCCGGAATACGTTTGGAGGGTGCTGTTTAGGCAAGTTAACTCTCAGTCTGACATTTGCCATCGTTGTGTTACGCACAGGCACTCCCGAGTACTCTCCAGGTCATCTGGACGTTATTACACCCTGTGCAATCAGGCAACGCATGGAAAATTATTAGTGTTGAGTTTGCTGTCACTTCAGTATAGATTTCAGTGGTCAAATTAAGATGGAGACCTCAGAAAAGTCATCTTTGCTCTTCTCTAATCTTTTACAGAACTATAAAGCCAACTTTATTTGCTTTAGCCAGATGCTAAATGATGGCTTTGAATTTCACGGATGTTTTTCTGATGCAGTTTTACCATTCAGTTGTTTTGTGCACAGAAGCAGGAATATTAGGCAGGCGGGTTTAGCAAGTCAATGAGGGAGCAAAAGAAAGGTCAATAAACAAGGAAAAGCGTGTGGGAAGCAGAAAAATTCTGAGTGCCGATGTGGTGGCAGAAAGAAACGAAAATGTGAGGAAAGGATGAGTGTACGGGATGCAGGGCAAATGCTCCTGCAATATCAAATTGCAACAGAAATGTCACATTGAATGTTGACTGTAAGATTCTGATTTCTTCATCCAGCTTAAATGTCCCTGGGAATACAAAGAGTAGAGCACAGCGAAGGGCAGTGGTGCTAACCCCACTGCCTGAGCTGCAAACGCTGTTCTGTTCCCAGTGTGTTTCTGTGTGCGGTGCCACGAGAAACGAGCCACTGAAGTTACAGGTGGAAGCGCTTGGCAGTTCAACAAGGTTCTCCAGTGGCCCCTGCCCCTGTCACCCTCTTGCTCCCTTTCTCAGGGGAAGGTGTCTCCGTGAACTGCTCAGGCTGGGGCATTAGATGAACACAACTCTCCTAGCCACCCCCTTTGCTAGTAGAGAGAGAAAGGAATTGCTTGGTCAGATTTGCCAGCGCTCTGCAGCTTAACACAATGCCTGGCCTGCAGCTCAAACGGGGAAAAACAGCTTCAGGATAGGAGCAACACTTCAGGCCGTGTTTTGAAGAACTAAACTATGCATGCAAAGAGTCAGGTGGCAAGTGCTGAGGTGCCCTGGCTAATCCCTGTCCTGATGTTATTTGCTTCATGCCATAATAAAGGCCTGAGCTAGCCGTTATGGTAAACCTGGCTAAGCCAGGCTCAAAACACTGTGGCCAGAGGACAGAGTGCAGGTGTACGAGACATCCCTCCCATTTTTCACATTTTGTCCATGGATGACCTTTTCCTGGCAGGCTTTATCAGCTAATCAGGCAGTTGTAAGTCCACATCGATGTCCTCCAAAAGCTGAATCCAGAATAAACTTATAAAACAGCTGAAACGATCATGTGTGCTGCCCAATTCAAATCTAGGCTTGCTCTGAATCAAGTTTTCCTGACTGTGCACAGAGCACACACAGCTCCCAGCAAGCAAAGCTCCCAACAGCTTAACAGGATAGAAACCCAAGGTTTGTTTTCTTTTTCCCCCAAGTTTGAGCTCGCAGACACGTTGCCAGTCCTACACCTTGGATCCAGAGTGGAAAACCAGCATTTTGCGACCCATCCCCTTGCAAGGCAAACACTGGACTCGTTTGACTAGTTCTTTCGTTCAGTGCACGTTTACTCGAACACAAGCCCACACCCTGCGCCAGATCAGCTTTTCCATGGCTCTGCCACCGCCAGCTGTTTCCAGTGCGCTGGATCCAGCCTGCTCCCTCCGCAGCTGGGTGTGCTTCAGGGAGGCAGAGTGCCCCGGGGTAGGTCTGGGGCTCATAGCAGAGTCACTGACTTTGATTTCAGCCCAATCTGCAGCTCAGGAAAGGATCTCCCTTCTGCTGGCGAGCCCCGAGCCAGCTGAAATATCCCAGCACCTCCCACACAATGACCTTTGCCTGGCCACTGCCCTCAAAAGGAATAAAAACATAATACCGAGTTAGCAGAGCTTTGTACTCCTCACTTCAGGCTGTGTGCCCACCCAAAGCCGCTTCACAAGCCCCCCGGCACGCCCTCCACACTCCAGCATCCAGCGGATGGATGTGCCAGCATGGACACGGCAGAAATAGGAAGCAAGACCTGCACTGCTTGTGCCTGGGAAGAGTCAGCCATCTTCCTCCTTCCCACAACCTGCCTCCCTGTCCTTCCTTACCCCAGGCCTGCCCCAACATCCTAATGCCTCGGCATCGTGGCCCCGACACGGCATCCACCAGCCGAGGGCTGTCCCGCTCCCGCACAGCCGCGCTACCAGCCGCTGCGGTCTGGCAAGCGGCGACGGTGCTTGGCACCTTCCCAGGCACATCCAGCCGTGCAACCCCTTCCCCACGCCAAAGGGGACCCCCCGGTTAGTTTGGCACTCACCTCCTGTCCCAAGCGGGTGACTTGGCAGGGATGGGGAGCTTTGCTTGCCTTGCCCTGGATGGCAAAGTCCCCGCCCTGGAGCGGGGTGGGACTCGTCAGCGCAAAGCAGCTTTTCTCGCACGCCTGACGGGAAGGCGATCCAGCCCCGCTCCCCTCCTCTGCCTTCCGTAAACAGTTGGTTGTAATCCAGGGAGAGGTTCCCCAGGGAGCCTCACGCACATGTAGGAAACGCACATTTGGGGTTACGCAGAGGCCCTTGCAAGTAAAAGTGGCCTGGCAGGCTCGGATGGCTTCCAAGCTCCCCAGCATCGCCTGTAAAAATCTCTGAGAACAGAGGGGGTCTCTGACTGCAGCCCGAGCACACAGCCTGATGTCTGCTTGATGCTGTGTGAAAGGGCAAACCCAAGGGGGGAGCGAGGGGGACGATGGCACGGAGCACGCTGGCAGCAACAGCCTTGAGCAAGAAGTCCTGTTCCTTTTTTTTTCCCCCCCGCAACGTTTGTGGGGATTTCTTACCTGTATCGTGTCACCTTTGCTCCCACAGCACCTCTCCAGGTCTTCAGTGTCATTCCCCCTTGTCTGAGAACTTCGTGTCACAAACAGCCATGATTTCTGTAAGAATGATTGTTTTCATAAAGATGATTATTTTTGCCCCAATAAATGGCGCCACCCTCAAGTCAAAAACACTTCAGGCAAAGGGATTTCAATTTTACCCTGATGTGACACTGCCAGGGTCAGCATTGGACAAGATCATGAGGCTGACAGAGGGCAATCAACTTTGCAATAATACCTATCTTGTCTTCACGGTGTTTATCCTCGGGGGCTTTGGTCTCCACTGATGCCAAAAGTAGAGTTATTATAATGGGCAAATCAACCCCCTCAGGTTCTTTTTTTCCAGCTCATACGACAGTTATATCTCATCCCTGTGCCTCTGTGCACACGCTCTTTTGCTGGGAGAGACCTAAATTTAGCAGCTGGGCTGAATGCAGGCTGTGCTCCAGTGAGCATGCCTGTGCCGCTGCCTTATTATAGCTCCCGCTGCAGCTCAGTCTCCCAAAAACAACCCCACGGAGGCCAGCCGGCCAGCACCTACCCACCCCCTGCTGATGCGGGGGGGCAATGAACAGAGGGTAACAAAACCCCAGGGTTCCAGCCACGAGCACTCTCCTTTTCCATTGCAGTCTCTCTTTCCTTGCAAAATCTGGCACTTCACCCCCACCAGGATTCAGTGTGGACTAGTACATAATGTCAACAGTCACTAGGGAGAAACTTCTCCTTCCTACATCTGTTCCAGTTTCCATCCTCACCCCTTCCTCTCACGTCAGCTGTCTCCTGCTCTGGGTCCATACCCACTCATTTTAATCCACCAGCAGGAAAACTTCTATGTTTCTCCATCTTGTGTTGCCTTTGATTTTTTTAGCCTGTGTATTTTCGAAAGCTTCATTCTTCTGTTTGCTTTCCTCTTCAGCGCCAAGGGCTGGATGGCTCTGACACTGCAGTCAGTGGTATATAAGCAACAGCAATTATTCAAGACCATAAGTTATTCATCTTTTTTTGGAAGTTATCCTTTAAATATTGCACGAATCCTGCTGTTCACGATTTGCTTAATTCAACCTTTTCTTTCCCCCTG